GAGAATGAGAAAGTGACCATACTCACGAACGTTTTTCTTTTCGACTCAACAGTAAACACAAAAAAGAAGACCCTTTTTTGCATTCAGTGTGAGTTTATTCTTTCAACAGGAAAGCCATAAAGACGAAGAGAACGTGCTGCTCGCGCGCTCACGTGATTTTTTCTTTACCTCACACGACCTATAAACATAAAAATCTAGAACTTTCGCCTTGAAAAATTCATACTACAGAGCCAGTCACATGCTTATTGTGAGCAAAGGAGAGCGAAACTTTTCCGGACCCATTGCGTCGGCTGGTGTAGTCGAGAAACCTTCGGCGTATCATGTGATGCTGTGGCACGCAGTTTCACTCGATTTTCTATTGACTCCTGAGGCTCGAGATTTTAGTGCACCTTAGAGCGGCGTGACCTTGTAACTGCATTGAAGATGGTTCACAATAAAAGAATGCAAGGTTCTGTGGAAAACCTTGCTCTTAGGTGGAGCCTAAGTGGGAGGTTTTGAAGAAAACAGCTTGCCTCCGGGCTATAGCTGTCATCAAAACTAAAGCTCTTAGCAGCGCGTCATTGGAGAGGGCGCCACGTACCATAAATTAGAGACATATCACTCGGACATCAACGTTTAAACGGCCTTGAGTTTACGGACTAAGCATACACCGAAATAGACATGCCAGCTAGAAAGAGGAGAAGTACATGTGAAGGGCGGGCATCTCGATGTCTTCAAACAGTTCTGAATGACCTGAGGACCCCTATTTCATATGCTTACTCTAACAATATTTCATGAATGCTAACGCAAGATTTGTATTTGAATTTGCGTCATACTGAGACATTGGACTACCTAAATAAAGCTTACTTTTGCTCTGTGTCACGCCTTGCGGCTGAATGAGGGCTGCGTTGCGTTGTTCTTTTGAAGAACGAAAACACAACCGCGAGAGTCTGGCGAATTCGTTGCTATGTTTACTGTGAGAGCCTGGGAAGGCAAGTTGCATTGAGAACAGTTAGCCGTGTCGGGGCGAAATCGCTGGTGTGACACTGTGATTCTGTCGAGAGCCCGCATGTGGGCTGATGTTTAGGCTGCAGCGCTTGCATCGCACCCGATGCGGTGGCCGTAGAACCGACGAGAAGCGGGTATGACTTCCTGACCTCTTTACGACGTCATTAGTATATGTGGGTAGGCTTGAAACATAACGAAAGAAAAGAAATAAAATGTTACTCATACCTTCTGACAAGATCGGTCAGCTAAGCTGCTGAAGAGTATGGACAGGATAATAGCAACACCATTTTTATTCGGGTGGGAAGACGAAGGTTGCTTCGTTGTGTGTGTGTTGGGAGAGGGGGAGGGAGGGGCACTGATTGTCACTGCAGCTGAAATGTTAGAGCATCGGACATGTTATTCGAAAGTCGCAGGTTCGGTTCTCGCAGCGGCAAGTTATCGTTCCGTCCGCTTTTCTTTTTTGTCATTTACAATAAAACTACTACAAATCAAAGCCCCTATACTTTTCTCGGCATCATTGTCTGCTAGTTCTCGTTATTAATGATTATAACATGACGCACTTTTGGACGCTCAGCAATGCTTATGCCACTGATCTGGCGTTTATGTTAAACTAAATATTTAATATTTCCATTAATTTGTTTCTTCTCCGAGAAAGCTTCCCGCGGTGGCAAGCGCTTTTTATAGTCTCGCTGTTGGCCACAGACTAGGCATTTTCTTCAAAGTTAACAGTCTTCTACATAAATGTATCGGATTTGTTGGAAATACATTTCGAACTGAGTCACGCACTCGACTAGTAGATGATGCACATCTTATTCTGGACGCTCACAAGAACACAGTGGAACACTGAGGCTTGGCGTAAATACTCCACCATGACGCAAGGAGTGCTCCAATGTTCTTATTTCTTTATTTTAGTTCAGATATTACAGTGTTGGTAGTTTTATACAATGGTCTATTAGCTAGAGGTATGAACTTTTAGATCTCTAATTGAAAATGTATTTTCTCTGACAGGATGTCCATCTTAGGGGCAGTGGAATTTTGTTGGGTGAAAGGGGAAGAATAATTGCATTTATGTAATTGTGCGCCATATTGCTTTTTGGTTTTTAGCTATGCCACAGCGACTTGCATATAGCTCTAAATGACCCATTTTTGCGCATTTTTAGCTGATGTCACGAAGTGCAACACCGCACATACATTTCAAAACACTTCTGCAACAGTCGAATATGTCACTCGAGGTATTTTAGACGTTTGCTCTGGAGCTAAAAGTGTGTTGACAAAAGCTGAAGCAGAGAAATATTCATGACACTTACCGTCTGTACAATTGAGTGTACTGCAGGTATAGGGTTTGAATCTTGAATAGTTCAAGTTGAACTGCAGATGTCAGGAACCTTGCATCGTTGGAATATTATCTCTTCTATCGGTAGTTGTATTTTTGGCCTTGATAACATCCAAGGGCACAGCGGATTGATAACCTCTATGCATAACTCAAAACTCGAAAGAAATTTTCCATGTTCTTGAGCTCCTTGTATTCTGTTTCCTTTCTCCCTTCGGGCATTTTAAACTGCCGTCAAGCAATGCCCCTTCTGTGCGTCCGACGTTGTTGTTTGGTTTCGCTATGATATCAAAAAAAATCAAATATCGCTTTATAAAGGGTGAACTTAGCCTACTTCACGTTGTATGTTACTGCAAAATTTATCTGACTGCTGTTCATCACCTGGTCAGCAGACGTTTCTTCGCCCCCTATGTGTCTATAATGTTACCCATATGTCATCCTCAGATATATATTTTTATGCAGTTTTGGTTGCGTGAATTGGTATAGAAAAATGGCTAGCAAGATATATGTGAAAATAATATAGTGTACGTTTTAAGCGAGAGAAATGATAAAACTGTAGTGTTTTCTTGCCTAACTGGACTGCATAAATTTATGCAATAGCTATATATTTTTATTAGATGCTCTACAATATAAAAAACCAGGATTGCCGTAAACAGCGCTCGTCGAAAAGACTTGACTACAAGTTTCACGTGCCGGGCATATGTTCGAAAGTTTATTTCAAACGAATCAACCTCGAACAAAGTTTTTTTTTTTTTTGGAAATGGGAATACCAATTTGGGACTTGGTATTCCCATTTCTTGGAAATGCAGCTGAGAAAAACGCCGCGCGACATCGATCCATGTAAAACAGGCTCTAAAACGCTGGACGCTTTTTTTTTAAGATCTCTTCGGTCTATGCCCGTACGCGCCTTCACAAGTTCTTTCATGTTTTTTCCCTTACTTTCAGCTGAAAAGCTGCCGTTTAGTTTTTAAGCTTACTATAGTAAGCTTACACCAGAAAAAACGGGGATAACAAATACTAATTAGCTTTTCATTCTGCCAGTAAAAGCACTGTCCCTGGTATATGCCGTTTTCTGGGCCCAGAAATTCTGGGTGAACAGTGGAATCATTGTCTGGTGCAGATAGGCTTGTCATGACAGGCACTAAAGACGTGCGCTTTACTCGTTTTGTGTGTTTACAACTAGTGCTCCAGGATTGAACGCCACGATCAATGTGCGAACATTTTAGGCGAATGCACGCAGTTTTTCACTGTTTCTACATTCTTAAGTTTGTGTTGTGACCGCGATGTTACATCGCAGTGACGGTGTCTAAAATATTTCCTGCATGTGTTCGTGTCGGTTCGCTCCCAAGTGTGTCGAAGTGTGACCGAAGCTGCATTGGTCATTCAGTGACTTGGCCGTTTTTCGGTTGAACTTGAGCAGGCGTTTTCCCAAGCCCACCACTATGATAGTCATAGACATATTTCGGGACGTTTAGTAGCGTCGACAAATTACTACAGTGGGCTAATCTATCCAATCAATAGTAATGAGCGCCCACGTCTGCGAGTAATGAGTGCGGCGTACAACCAACTAGAGTCGTTAACAAAACATTTGAGGGGGGGGGGGGCTGCTTGGCTCGTGACTACTGAAGTAAGAAAAAATTATTGATAAGCAAGTCTTGGAAAAACAGAGAGCGTAAATCCCGGCCGTGTTCTATGTCTGTCCGTGTGCTGCTTTGCGCAAATTGTTTTCTTCAGAAGTCGTTAACAAGTGCTGCTCGGCTTACAGGTATATGGAGAATAATAAAAGTGAAATTGCCTATAAATACTATAGTCTTGGTGTTTAAAATATAAAACCGCACTGTAATATTGGTATTACAAAACATGTACTGTGAAGTTATTGTTCATTATATGTCTCAAAACTCCAATTATTGGTGGAAAACGCCCTTGAAGCGCATAAATGGCTCTTGAAAGTAAATTTCGCGTATACCTATAAAGGCGTTTTTGTTAAAATGTTATTGCTAGATTAACTTTCAAAAGACTGCACATTTTTAACGGTGGTATTCAAAGAACAGTCGTGAACATTCGTGTTATGACTGAAAGATCTTTCAGCAGGCTTCCTCTCAGCCTGTCGTACCTTGTGAAAAAATAACTGATGTGTAACTATAGCGAACAAAACCCTCGTGCAGCAGGACAAAACTAATGTTTGGATAGCAGTTTATTTTAGCTCTTTCTTTCGTAAAGCTAAACTTCGAACTGAAGCCTGAGAGCCTAAGTGAATGCCCAATGTTTTTTGTTTTTTTTTTCTCTTCCTTATGTGTTTCCTCACTTTATATGAGTTGACATTTGACAACCAATGTTTTTAAGCATCGTTATTAATACAAAAAAGTCAAATGTTTATGGCAGAAAAACAGCTACCTGGTTTCTCTAATCAGCGTGTACAATATCAGCCAATTGCTAGCTTTGAAGTTCAACTCAAATGGTATGGCCACTGGTGCTAAGATTCATAGAGTGAGTTTCCACGTTTGTTTGTGCCCATGGGCTCACAGTTCTCGTGCTCAGCGATTACAGCTGCTCTACACAATAACCTCGTGCGCTAAAGCTAATGCATATGGTTCCGAATGATTTAAATGCCCGAAATATTCATTGTTCTTGGAGTTTATTGGTTGGCTAAGTGAGAGTTCTTTTTTTTGTTTGATCATTTCAGGATTCAAATATTACCTGACGAGCGGAGATACCAGCAGACGAAATTTAAGAAGAAAACTTGCAATCCCGTCTTCGACGAGACCTACATATTCCAGGTGAGTGGAAGCCTTGGCCTTGGATAACTTACCGTATTGTGCCGCAGAAAATCTAACCACACAAACTGCAGGCACTTTCAATACACTGCGTCCGTCTGTAGTGCATTTATTTTTCTAATCACTCATGCCGGAAAGGGGAGAAAAACACAGGCAAATGAAGGGAGGGGGGAGGGTCTGATTTCTGAGTTTGGTTGAATAGCAATATATAAGTACGAAAAGACACCATCATCATCATCATCATCATCATCAGCCTGACTACGTCCACTGCAGGACAAACGCCTCTCCCATGTTCCGCCAGTTAACCCGGTCCTGTGCTTGCTGCTGCCAATTTATACCCGCAAACTTCTTAATCTCATCTGCCCACCTAACCTTCTGTCTCCCCCTAACCCGCTTCCCTTCTCTGGGAATCCAGTTAGTTACCCTTAATGACCAGCGGTTTTCCTGTCTACGTGCTACATGCCCGGCCCATGTCCATTTACTCTGCTTTATTTCAACTATGATATCCTTAACCCCCGTTTGTCCCCTAATCCACTCTGCTCTCTTCTTGTCTCTTAAGGTTACACCTACCATTTTTCTTTCCATTGCTCGCTGCGTCGTCCTCAATTTAAGCTGAACCCTCTTTGTAAGTCTCCAGGTTTCTGCTCCGTAGCTAAGTACCAGCAAGATACAGCTGTTGTATACCTTCCTCTTGAGGCATAGTGGCAATCTACCAGCCATAATTTCAGAGTGCTTGCCGAGTGTGCTCCACCCCATTCTTATTCTTCTAGTTACTTCAATCTCGTGGTTAGGCTCTGCGGTTATTGCCTGCCCTAAGTAGACATAATCTTTTACAACTTCAAGTGCACTATTACCTATCTCGAAGCGCTGCTCCTTTCCGATGTTGTTGTACATTACTTTCGTTTTCTGCAGATTAATTTTAAGACCCACCTTTCTGCTCTCCTTGTCTAACTCCGTAATCATGAGTTGCAATTCGTCCCCTGAGTTACTCAGCGATGCAATGTCATCAGAAGCGCAAGTTACTAAGGTATTCTCCATTAACTGTTATCCCTAACTGTTCCCATTCTAGGCTTCTGAAAACCTCCTGTAAGCACGCGGTGAATAGCATTGGGGAGATTGTGTCCCCCTGCCTTACACCCTTCTTGATTGGTATTCTGTTGCTTTCTTTTTGAAGCACTATGGTAGCAGTTGATCCCCTGTAGATTTCTTCCAGAATGTTTATATATAGTTCATCTACGCCCTGATTCCGCAGTGTCTGCATGACGGCTGATATTTCTACTGAATCAAACGCCTTCTCGTAATCTATGAAGGCTATGTATAGTGGTTGGTTATACTCTGAACATTTCTCTATTACCTGATTGATAGTATGAATGTGGTCAATTGTTGAGTAGCCTGTTCGAAATCCTGCTTGTTTTTTTTGGTTGATGGAATTCTAATGTTTTCTTTACTCTGTTAGCAATTACCTTTGTAAGTAGCTTGTATATTACAGAGAGCAAGCTTATCGGCCTGTAATTCTTCAAGTCCTTGTCATCTCCTTTCTTATGTATTAAGATGATGTTAGCGTTCTTCCTAGACTCTGGTACCCTTCCCGTCAGGAGACACCTCGTAAACAGGATGGCTAATTTTTCTAACACAATCTGCCCTCCATCTTTCAGCAGGTTTGATGTTACCTGATCCTAACCAGCAGCTTTGCCTCTTTGCATGCTCTCCAAAGCTTTTCTGACTTCTTCTATCATTACTGGTGGGGTGTCATCTGGGTTACTGCTAGTTCTTATAGTATTAAGGTCGTGGTTGTCCCGGCTACTGTACAGATCTCTGTAAAACTCCTCCGCTATTTTAACTATCATATCCATATTGGTAGTTATTTTGCCTTCTTTGTCCCTTAGTGCATACATCCGACTTTTGCCTATCCCGAGTTTCCTCTTCACTGCTTTGACGCTTCCTACGTTTTTCAGAGCGTGTTCAATTCTCTCCATGTTATACCTTCTTACATCGCATACTTTACGTCTATTAATCAACTTCGAAAGCTCTGCTAGATCTATTTTGTCTGTTGTACTTGACACTTTCATGATTTGACGCTTCTTAATTAGGTTCTTCGTTTCCTGGGAAAGCTTGCCAGTGTCCTGTCTAACCACCCTGCCTCCAACTTCCACTGCACACTCCGTAATGATACTCGTCAGATTATCATTCATTGTATCTACGCTACGGTTGGTTTCCTCACTAAGAGCCGAGTACCTGTTCTGCAGCGACACTCTGAATTCCTGTACTTTCCCTCTCAGTGCTAGCTCATTGATTGGTTTCTTGCGTATCAGTTTCTGTCGTTCCTTCTTCAAGTCTAGGCGAATTAGAGACCGTACCATTCTATGGTCACTGCATTTACCTTGCCAACCACTTCCACATCCTGCACGATTCCTGGGTGTGTAGTCACACACCCAGGAAAAGACACCATGTGCAACATCTATCAGTAAATAAGGAACAGCCGCTGGTCGCTGGTAACATTGATCACGCTTCTTGTGGTGATGGTTTCGGTGAGCGTTTTATAGTTACATCTGAAAGGGGCGCTCATTATTAATTGACCTATTGCCCTCCAATATATATATATATATATATATATATATATATATATATATGAAGGTATGGGATATGGCACAACGGGAATGTTGTCAACAAGGATAAATATATTTCCCAACAGTTTCGGGAGGGGTCCTCCCTTCATCAGGGGATGAGTTATACTGAATATGAATTTCAAAACTTCGTTGCTGCCGCGTCCCTCTCGCCTTGAAACATGTTTGCGAGAGTGAGAGGGAACTAGAAAAAAAGGGGGGGGGAGAAAAAAAGAAAAAAAAAGAAAAGAAAGAAAGTAAAAAAGAGGAAGACCCACTGTCAACACTGAGAACGAAACCAACTGTCCGTGTACGTGCTGTTCAGTTCTCGACGTGTGTCGGGCAACCCAAAAATGTCGCCGCGGTGCCGGGAGGGTCCGTGACGGCGTGCGTAAAGAAAGGGTTTCCCCGTAATGGGTCGGTCGGCATGCGGCGTGCGTAAAAGAAGGGTCTTCCGTTAATGGGTCGGTCGGCTCTTTTTACCTTCAATCTTCGTCCGTTTCCCTTCAATGGTCATCAAGTGGTAGGCGAACGAAAACACTTTGTATGCGCATGTGGAAAAAGGAAGAAAAGAAAAAATGAATGAAGAAAAAACGAAAAGAAGAATGAACAGTGTACACGTACGAGTCAGTCAGAAAAAAGCATATATATATATAAATATATATATATATATATATATATATATATATATATATATATATATATATATATATATATATATTGAAGGGACTACGCTGTAAGACAATAAGATATCAATGACGGGCCACACTTTCATTAGGGCGTGAAGGGTGTGGACCATCATTATTATCTTATAGCGTAGTCCAGAATTCACACCCCTCCACCCTTCACGTTCTAATGAAAGTGTGGTCCATTCCGAACTCAGAAGTTCCGCAAGTCGCTCCTAACTGCATTTCTTGAAAGCGAAGTGCGTACGCGAGATTGTGCTCACCTATGCCGGCAACACGCTGCGAAGACGGACGGGAAGCCTTCACGGGACAGTGCCTGAAGGGTTACCGTCAAGCGCGTGTTCTACTTTCCCAAAGCCGAGCTTTAGAAAAGTGGAGGATTACGCTAGGGAGAAGACCATAAGGGGACGGGAGACCACCGAGTAACTCCACAGACACAGTGTACACCCACGCGGGCAGATGTTTTCTATTTTTTTGTAAAATAAACATAGATAATTCGCATTTGGAGTTTTTGCAATGTTGTGTTCACGATTGTGAATGACTGGTTTCTGTTCATACACCGCATAGTTGTGACATGAATGTGTGGTTATGAAGAGCATTCAGAAAAGTGACCTTCCTTTCCTAAGTTAGACAACCTACAATAGCGCCAAGCACCTTAAATATTTTATCTTGATGGTAAAAAATAACACCGAAGCAACATGATCCCTGTAGCAGCTAACTGGTCATTATTCTATAATTATCGAGATTGTTGTTCAAGTCATCTTCTTCAGAACAACTGAGTGAAAAGTTCTACCGAATGTACATGGGTCCATTAGTCGTTATGTGCATTGTAATGTGGCCTTCCCTCTACTGACTTCATTGTAACAGTCTTAGCATAATGATAATAACGAATAAAATCCCCTTCATCTAACCCAGGCCAACTAGGCTACGAGTGGTGCTGGTTGACAACATTAGGTATTAAGCAAATTTAAGTACCGCACGAAAATGCGGACGACGCAGTGTGCACCTTCGTCGCTCGAATGGCGGAGCATCGTCCATGTAATTCTGAGATTGTGGGTTGTGATCCCAGAGACGCAAAGGGTGGTTTTTAATTTTTGATAGTTCCTTTAAATTTGAATGAGAATCGTTGTAGTTATGTTAAGAAACTACAAATAGTGTCTTATACATTCTTCTTAGTGTAATTGTCAGTAGGTTTAATTATTAGTCCATAACACAGAAAAACAAGCCCCTCGATCAATTTATGTTCTTTCGTGGTTATCTAGCCTAATAATTGTGAATAAGTGTAACAGTTACGAAAAGTGGAAACAACACAGACCCAGCTGAGGAGAAAGGCTTGTAGCTATGCCTTATGTCACTAGAACTTCATATAATGTCATAAAAGTAGCTTAGAGACATGGTGTTAACGTAGGCCTTTTTCGCTCCTCGTAAAACTGTGAAGTCTTTGTTTGCGTGCGAGGTTAGGAGATTGGGCGAGTTCAGTTTGGTTTATGGCAACGCACAACACAGTGCGCCAACATTAAAAAAAGCACAGAGTAGAGAAAAAGTGTTGCTTTTCAACTTCCTTCCTTTTGCGCGCTGTGTCATACGCAATTTTGTTCGCGTGTTGCTCATGACAAAACTGTAGACCCTATATGTAAGACGCTACATAAAAACAGTTACAATATTTGTTCTACACGTATGGCTTGCGGAATTCCACTGACCTGTTAGAAAGTATACATCGGCCTCATAGGCCGGTGTATCAATACTACCTGTGAGCAGTCTTGCGGAATGGGCACCTTCAATTCATTTCATTTCAATTCTACTCCAGGGAATTGCAACTTGCCGTAATTCCATTGTTTTCAATTCCTGTGTAAGAAAAAAACTTAGCTTATTCCTACTTCGGGAATGGCCAGGCAGGTCAATTCCAATACTAATTTTCCTCAACGTAGGAAAGGCATATCTCGATAGTTTTATCAAGCTAAAAATGATTGTAACAATATAAATCTGATGCCATCAAATGCATATGAATTGCAAAGCTATACTAAACGCGTTACCATGATCAAGGAATAAGTAGCTCGATGACTGATCTCGTGCAGCACAACTGCACTACTAGTTACCATAGGAGCAGTTCTCTCGCTACCTTTCGTATGTCCATAGTCAGCCCAATTTTAAAAGAAAAGGTAGTAAGCAGGTGCCAGTGCATGAAATAACTTGTTTCGAGCGTATTTTACTACCTTCCCGGCATCTCTTTACCAACAGCTCGTACAGCTTGAAACTTTTTTGCCGTTACTAACGAAGAATGTTTTCTTAGTCTTTTTAACTAGGTAACTACTAAGCCATATATGTTGCCACATCTCTCGTAAACCCCACAGGATATTTTGCAGTAATTGTTACACTCTTAAGAAAAATTCATACCAATCTTAATTTTGTCGGTTGCTATGACGATGACATGTGCAAAACGTCCGTTAATTTTCTAAATTCTATGGCTGCTAACCAGTACGCAGAGTGTTGTTACAAAGTAGGAGCATAAATAGCCTTCAAACGGCTAAGTCTTGATATTCTATGTGCACGTTTGCGTGTATGTCCTCGCCTGTTATTCTTTCATGCTTATATGTATGTTGTTGTGATGCGTACTTGCCATCATGTTCACATGAAGTAATTAGTGGTCATTAATTAATCGAAGCGGATAATTGTGATTTGCTTATTATGTTATGTACATTTCTGTAATTAAATTTTTTTGATGTGGCAATGTACACGCATATATGCCCATCGACTAAAAATTCAGTAATGTAATAATTATTCAAGTCAGCACTATTCATGAACTACTTTGCAAGCTAGTAAGTTTCACTAATCACCATTTCACAAAATTTACTTACTATGAGGTTAGTACTTTTTGTGACAAGTAAACAGTTAGTATTTTGTTAGGAGGAAGGTTAGTAACCAGGCATTTTTTTTTCTCCGAGTGCATGTTTAAACCAATGATGTTTCAATATTGTTTAAGTCTAAGTGCGTTAATGCCAAATTGACGACATAGCGAATCGTGGTGTAGGGATTCGGAGAGGCGCCACCTTGGTTACATGGGATCACGTGCTTTGGTTAGCTACCCAAACCAGTGCTTTCAAAATTCTATTCTATCTCTCTTTGTACGGTTTATCTTGTACAACAGTTCATCACACACACAGTTCACACAGCACACAGCTTACACAGTTCACGCAGCACACAGTTCTTTGTGTGCGAGTGTGTGCTGTGCTGAGCTACAGAGATTTGCGATAGTTTCTCGCAAAGACACCATTGCGTGTAGGCAAGGGGAACAGTATTGAGAAAAGGGGTGGTTGGGTAATACGTGGCGAAAGTGTACACAAGCTGGTATATGAAAGCTTGCCGTAAACAGAAGCATCGTACCACCGCCTATACGCGTCAGAACTTCGAGAGATTCACGTTCTCGAATATGCGTCCGAATTGCTGACGCTGGCAGAAGCAAAAAAAAAAGTTAAAGATGGGAAAACATCAGGTGGTTAAGGTGCCGCCGAATGGTTGTTAGGTGGGTATGGCGCCACCGTATATAGTTCCGCAAGACAAGTACCATGGCATAGAGCCGTGGTTACGTGAACAATAGAGAAAAAAACACCGGCTATACAAGGACAAAGTTATAGTAGGTGTATTGCGCATAAATGTGTCATGCTTGTAATCAGCCGAGACTTTTTCTGTTACTGTTTTATTATTTCGATAGCAGTTATAGGGACAGTATCGGCTGTTTTTTTCCTCCGATCATCATGCACATATATGTAATGTATGTATAGATATACGGGGAAGGGTACGCTAGCCTCCTCTTTCTGCAGAGCGAACATCGCCTTTCTGGCCGTGGTCGTCTGCACGTGCGCTTATCTCGTGAGCTAACAAGGAGAGGGGGGGGGGGACTGCTTTTATGGTTGCCGCGCTATCGTGGCAATGATCAGTTCACACCTTGTTCCCCCACAATAGGTGGGAGCTTCTACGGGCTGCTGCGCTCTCCACACGAAAAAAAAAAACTGTGCCAAGCGTATACATAGAGCGGCCTTGTTCTCTTATACCAGCGTTTTGTATAGTTATGTGAGATTGAGTCTGAATGATTTGACATGTCAGTATCTCTTCGTAAATCATTGCAATTTGTCGCTATCAAGTTCATTGCTTCACCTTTTCAGTGAATATGATTTTGTGCAATAATCCCTGCCAGAGTCACAAATTGCACTTCAAAACATGCGCACGAGTATAGCCACCGAGAAAGCTTCTTAAGACACAAAGGTATCCAGCGGCTATGCACGTTTTGCAGGTTCTGTACTGTTTATTGTCATAAGTTGTTCGCGTTCATCTGTATCTGCGATTACGTTTCGTGCGTCCCTTGTGCGCGAGAAACGTGGGGCACATTTCGATCTGCTTGCCATTCTTCGCGTGACCTTCAATTTGTTGCTATCGCGTTATTTGCTTCGCCTTTGCGGAAAATCTGTGACTTTTGTTAACTTCGAAGGTTTCCTTAAGTTTGAAAAAAGTCACAGCTTTGTCGCAAAGGCGAAGCAATGAACGCGATAGCAACAAATTGGAAGGTCAGGTGCAGAATGGCAAGCAGGTCGAAGCGTGGCCCGCGTTTCTCACATACGAAACGTGTTCAGATGTACAAATGGACGCAAATAAGTGGCTCAGTTGTTACTTCGCCGTGTCTGAAAAGCGCGCCTTTTTCGCAAACGGAGACTGTGCAACAATTGCAGTGACCTTTGTGCGCCCGGTAACTACAACAAAATTGTTCCGGTGAAAGCTCAAGGCATACTATTCTTCTTACCGCGAGATATGCAAGCGCAAGCGTGAGCGTCTACCCTGCCTCCTATCCGCGGGGCAAAGTACGCGTGGGAGATGAGAGCGAGCGAAACGTCGTGACGATGTGGTGACGCGCGTTCATTACGCCATCTCGTTGGTAATGCTGAAATTACGATAGTTCCTCCCGAGATCCCGATCACCAGCAGTAAGTGATAGATATAAATAGCTAACGCCTCGCACTCACAATTCCGGGGTTCGACGTTCGATTCCGCGCACTGGAGCCTTTTTCTAGAATATTTTTTCTTGCGTTTCCATATACATAAATACGTATACATATACAGCGAATAACGGCGACGCCGGCGGCAAAATTCGGCCGAAATTGTTCGAATAATTTCTATTGCAATAAAATGGCACGTCAACGAAAATGTGCTTCGGTAAAATACGTAATTGCATCCCCATTCCGTTTAGTGAAAATGATCTTAACTCCATTCCCATTCCATTTCTTCAAGCTTCATTCGCATTCCATTAAGGTGTTACAAAAATGTGGAATGATTCCAGATTGAATACAATTCCGGAGTGGCAACTCCGCAACACTGCCTGTGAAAGCAGCACAATTTTGTGAACTTTTCTGACGCACCAAACTTCCCATGGCATTGTTGGGAATGTGGCTGCGTCCCACTTCTTTCCAGTGTTATTATTGTTCATGGAGGCAAGGACGACTTTGAGTGAAGAAATTACCGGTGCCTATCACATCGGCATGCAATAAGATAATTCCATCAGCACACAATGCATCTCACAGACGAAGAAGCAACTGCGATTCCTGTTGACCTGGAGTTAGCTAATAGATGCATACCGCTATCGATGCTGTTTCTATTTGTTATGCTCTTGTGCTGGTTGAGAAAGCTAAAGGCAGGTACTTGAGCTTATGCTCTTGCGCTCCTTGGTACAACCAAGCGCACCCCGCTTGGTTTTCGCAACATCACTATTTTTAATGAAGCACACTTGGTAGTGCAGATGTCGTGTGCTACTTATCTCCTGTGCGATTCGTCTTGTTTGCGGATCCAAATTCTCAAGGCTATGTAACGACTATTTATGATATCGTGTCTTTTATCACCAGTGAGTTCTAAAACTTCTGGAAGGGACACGTTTTTTTTTTCGTTCTAGCTTGATGAATATCTTGACTAGACCCGTCACGGTGGCCTGATGGCCTAGGCACTCAGCTGCGGATCCGCAGGTCCCAGGATAGAATCCGGCCGTGGCGGCCGCAATTTCCATGAAGGCGAGAGTACTTAAGGCCCACGTGCCTATAATTAGGTGCACGTTAAAAAACACCAGTCTATCTCAATTTCCTGAGCTCTCTCCTATGGAGTCTCTCACAATCAAATGGTGGTTTTGGGACGCTAAACCCTCTCAATTATATGAATATCTTGACACCCCATGTTTTACAGAGCCGTGTTCGAATTTCTTCGCTGAGCTAGCAGTCCCACAGTAAAGCCACCTTTGATGGACCTGTAGGTTCTCTGGCAAATACTGATTTTTTTATTTATCTGATTCCTTTGTGTGGTCATCCATTAATGTTGAACGCCTACATTTCACTGTTTTGAACGCTTCCATTTCATTTGGCCCCATGCTTTCTTTTAAATGATATATCATATCGTTTCCCGTTATTTTTGTCCAACCTGCTATACCTAAGTGGTCACGACAAGTTTCCTTAACACGCTGTAAAAAACATGGTGTCTGCAAGTTTAGAACATTTTTGACCTCATTAAATTTGAATGATTGGTTGAATCATTATTTATTTATTTGATGTTGCAAGCAGATCCCTGCTAAGGCCCTGTCGGAACGAGTACTCAAGCTGACGGTGCTCGATAACGACCGTGGCAAGCGACACAACGTCATTGGACACGTGCTGTTCCCTCTTCGAGATCTGGATCCGCTCTCCGGTGAACGCATCGTGGCCTGGAGAGACCTGGAAACAACTGTCGATCTGGTCAGTGCCTCGAAGAATGTTCCGTTACAAGAACATAGCCTAGAGAATTGAGAAATTAAGTAATCCATAATTACTATTATGACTGAAATTTCACAATAATAAAGGTAGACAACAACTGTGAGCTAGCTAAACAGGAGTCCTATCTTGGGCTCTAAATAACTTTTTTTTCTTCTTAGGAAATCTGTTGACCCACCACGTGACAATTTACCAATCAATCGTAATTAAAAGTATCTAGCAAAATGTTTTTTTTCTCATTTGTTCCGTAAAAGTAAAAAAAAAACAATTTCATTTGGCAGATACAACTTACCCAGGGAATCGATGTCATGCGAAGCATGCGGAGGAAAGGTGACACTGGTGTAATTTTTTTGTTGAGCAAAGCGTGATGATGTGACGCTAACGCTAAACATATGTAGTACAAATGTTATACGCTTAGACATGTAAGTTGAACCGTCACATATGTTTCTTGTAGCCCATTCTTTACATTTGCGTAACGATGCCACAAGCAACGTGGGTATTACGAACACCAGAAGTGGTAAGCTGAAATGTAGCGCTTGTGCTTGCGAGGACGGTAGCCTCTGGACAGGTACGTATACCAACTTTAGTAGATGGCGCTTAACTATGATTGACGCTAACCTGGCATGACACCTGTATCACTGCAGTACATATGTAATGTTCTAATTGTACTCTCGCGCTTAACTATTTATGTGTGACCCCCCCCCCCCCCTGTTGTCCAGTGGTTATCGTGTTCGATTGATGACCAACAGGCCGCGGGTTCTAATCCATGCCATGGCGGCCGCATTTTATATTGAGGCGAAAGTGGTAAAGGCCCTTGTACTTAGATTTAGGTGCACGTTAAAGATCCCCAAGTGGTCGAAATTCCGGGAGTCGCCTACTAAAGCGGCTCTCATAATCATATCACAGTTTTCGGGCGTTAAACTCGAAATTACTGCACACTTTATATATGTTAAGGTATATCACCAATATTTCAGCAATATCTTCAAGTCTTAATCCTCAGTTGTATGCTTTGTGTCTCCCTTAAAAAAGGCCGTGGTAATTTAAAACACGTTTCTAATGTGCTATGCAAAAAAATAACAAAGCTAACCAAAATGCATTGTCAATGTTATTCTGAACATACCCATCATGCCAGCGAGCATAACTACAGATCTTATCACAAAAAGAAAATGGCTTTGCACGAACTCATGTGTGTAGGCTGTACAATAGACTACGATGTTTGTGTTATCATCAACGATAAATGCCTTACAGCACAAAAACGGGTGTTGCATTCCACTTTGAAATCTCATAATATCAAAACGTATTGATGGCTTTCTATTATGCTAGTTTGTTGCACAACTTAATGCTTCAGAAAGAAGCGTCAGACGTTTCAATAAAGCGTATTGTCTTTTTCAGAACGTACAACCTTTTGTGTAACGCAAAATACCTAAAAAATAAACTTTGAGAAAAACAAGAAATAAATTTTACAAATACGTGATGTTCGGGTTAAGGGCAGCTACAAAAAACATTGCAAGTTTTCAACGAAACCAAATAAAAATGAATGCAACTTTTTCCCCCCAGTTTTGATCATCTGTACATTTTTGAAATGTCAAAACTAAAATTAATCTCTTAAAAAGAAGTAAATGTGATGGGTGCCGATATCCCTGATATCATAGGCGGTCGTAATTCATGCTGTGCAGTCAAGGGTAAGAGGATACTTACGCTATATTTCGTGGCAAGCACCAAACAAAGAAGTTTTTTTTATTGAAAGTGGACTTTCATATACAGACGAAAAAACGAGCAGTCATTCCTATAATGTTTATTATTGGTGTACTTTGCCTAATTCAAAAAGAAAGGCAGGCCACTTGAGTAGAAATTGTGCGTAATTATTTTTCTTATTCATTATTAGTTTTTTTTCCTATGATGCAATCTGAACTTCAAACTTCTAACAAATGTGGAGAAAGCTGACACGACCCCACGAATGCGGCAGCAGAGAAGCAGCGAACAGCTCAATGGGCTATCCTGTGCCATTAACGTCTCGGATGACAAGGGGTCGCCTAAAGAGATTACTACGATCTGGGCAATCGTGGCAATATATTGTAAAAAAATATTGTGTTTTGCCCCCGAATCAAACTAGTTTCTCATAATGATTAAGAGCCCGGTGAAAAACTCATAGCTTTGGTTGTGGTTAACAAAGAAAAAAGCCATTCCCCTGATTTCACACTATACAAATATGGAAGCGATAGAAATTAAGCGTCATCATCTATAGATTACCACTCGCGTCCACTTGCTAGAATTTCACGCAAAACATTCTGAAAACGATCTCTCTATTCGGTTAGCCTTGAGTGAGAACTGTACTATTCATTATTGTGCCGGTTGGATTCTCACTATATTCATGTCACAAAAGTGGCCCTTTTATCGGAAACTTCCGCGAAGACGGTAAACGACTGCCGTGAGTAGCGGTGTTATTCTGGCAAAAAGTGTAAATAGCCGCACCCACCATAATGCTATTTCGTCGTTCACTTGCAGAAGGTTTAAAAGCGAAAACAAGGTGTGGGGTGGGTTAGGGGAACGAGGAGCAACTTTGCAAATCCTTCCGAACAGAGTCCGTATCGACTACGAGGCAACACACGCCAACGCATACTCACAGAGATCATTTATGATTCTGTTCACGCAAGCGCCCGGGATTCGCTCCACCCGTACGAGCCCACGCTTCAAACAAACCTTCTTCACGTGAACTTGTCGACTCGCACGGACACTTCTCATCAACATTTTATTTTCACGATTGTTACGGGTGTGCGCGAGTGAATATAGAATAAAAAGAAAGCGAAAATCAACCCTTGAATGTATGCGTCGATGCACCACGCAGGCGCCACCGGACCAAGGTGAACTGTTGCTGGGCCTTTGCTACAAGGCTGGCCTCGAGAGGCTCACCGTCACCGTGATGGAGGCCCGTGGCCTTGTCTCACCTCCGGATATGGGGAACCAAGCCTCCCTCGGTCAGTGCGTCTCAATGTTTCCCCCGTTCCACTGCGAAAAATAAGTCAAGCAAATGTTGTGGAATGTCAAAGGGACACGAAACATCTGGTCAGTGCAGACTGCTCAGCTGTTTTTGAGAACTCGGTTTTAGATAATCCTGCAATCATAGGTTCTGTGAGAGAAGATAAATTGAAGGGAAGGCCTACATACTCAGCGCTTGTTCTGTCTGTTTTCTGTCCATCGTGCGTTAATTTTGGGCTGCTAACCTTAAGTATGCACAACCAACTAGCCCAGTCAGCCAATATTTTATAAAATGTAGCTGAAATTCCCGTTCCTAAACTTCGCGCCAAAACGTCAGCACTTTGAAATAGATTACCTGCGTCTAGACGAACTCGAAGTTTGACACCATAGCGAGAACCTAAAGGCGGCAGGGTCACTGATATTATATTTTTACTCGTTCTCTGGCTTACCAATTGTCCTCTCGCGGCAAAAGTGATGATAGTGGTATCTATAAAGGTGAAGTTAAAAATACGACAGAAGTAATTTACTCTTTCGTGCCCCTTTTACCAAAGCTGGTCTTGATTCTCATTGTCTCACCAGCACTGTCACATGGAAAATGATAAAATACCAAAGATAACAAACGACTAAAAAATAAAGGACGCTTGAGCTTCGCCTTGAAGAGTAGAACCTGATAGTATAATGAGACCCTCTTCGCATCGCCCTCTTAGTAGTTAGACCACCTTCACGTCTTTGTAAACACCTAACTTACACCGATATGAAAGAAACGCCCGTGCTCCGGTGAATTGTCCCTTTGAAACTGTCCTAGAATGGCTGCTGCAAGTACAGTCGCGAAGTGCTTACTACGACAGAATTATTGCTTTCGCGAGTTGGCGAGGTATCCAGCACACGTCCGTAAGGTAACACGCGCAGCTCAGTAGGTGTAGACGTTTTTGATGCTATTAATAATCATGATTCATCATGCATGTGTGCTTTTTGATTGGTCAGCCTTTAAATCAACAACTCGCTGCACAATGCATGTTTTGACGTCTGGTGTGATTCTACGCATCTTCAATGCATTATTGCACATGTTAAAGACACTCCTCTATTCACAGACATTTATATAGTGTTTTTTCTGAAGCTATTCGAGCTTTGGCGTGGCCCTGTTATAAAACACCTACTTGCGCCACACAAGCAGTGGGTAACGCAAAAAAACATGACTAAGAATTTTTGTGGCAGCACTCCTTCAATGCGAGTGCAATGCACCCAAGAAACTTCCATGCTACGATCATGCTTGTGATAACTGTGACATTCTGATGACGGAAAGGGTCATCAGACCCTGCAGCGGACTGACAGCGCCATTGAGCCAAAGAGCAATAAAGTGGAGACAGTCTTTTAAATTTCCCACGGTCGTCTCACCAAGCCGGAGTACGAAAAAGACGAGATGTCATTTGAATCGCCATACTCATTTCGTGTTTGCCACCGGTACGTCTCGCTGCTCAACCACTTTTTTTGTATCGCTTGAAGACGGCTGAACTCAATTCTGGCCCTTCGTGGCATCCCCAACAAACAATAATAAAGGCGTCGGCGAAGAACTAGCAGGCTTGAGGAGGAAGCCAGGTTGAAAGGGAAACGGTGGCAGTAGCTTAGAATGCAGATGTTTTGCTGTATGGTATACGAAAACCCTAGTATATACAAGACAGTTACGGACGTGCGTTTGAGCCAAGCGTGTGGCCTGAATAAACAATGCGCGTTCCGGACTCCGGACAAAAGATCTCCGTGCGCAGGCGGTTTGCGAAACGGCAGCTCCTTTCCACACACTCTTGAGTGCCCACGTGCAACTCCGTACGTGTTTGTTTTTGCGTAAGATTATTTTTCTTTTGCCGTGTCTCACACTAACTCCGTTTCCAAGCGCCCAAGTGTAGAAGCATGGTAGACAACAATTACAGAACGGTTAGCACCCTTCGTGCTTAGAGTAGGAAATGCCACTGATTTGGCGCATTAGTTTTTGCATGCATCTTTCACTCGAGGAATGAGTGTCTGATGAATACCCAACGGTACAATCGTTCTGAAGAAATCTTTTCATCAGGCACGATTTATTCATAACTTGTAGTATGTTCCCCAATCTACCTACGTAAACTCATCAGCATAGAGCAACAAAGAAAAAAGGCAGCAAAAGCTTCATGGTTTCTGGAATAAGGAGACCTCCCACCTATAGGGTAGAAGCGGTACTTGAAGTGCTGTACTGTTTCATGAAATAAACGTTTATTCTTCCTCCTTCTTTTCGAAGTTATTGTAAAGCTGTATGCGAGGAAACAAGTCAGATGTTCTTATCTTACCAAAAGAAATAATTTGTCGTTGCGGATGAGTCAGCAGAACATTAGCTACCTTAACGTATATGCGTAAGCTACTCGTATTGCAGTAAGCTCCGTGGCACTGATATATCTACGTTCCCGTGGCTTAACTGGCAACAAGAGTATGTACGAATCCTGTGACTTAACTGGCAGTCCCGTGGCAACAGTGACGCCCACACTGTTGTATAGCATGTGAATCAGTTTCTATAGAGCGTTGTCAGTGTAGATATGACAGTGCTGTTTATAGCAGTGTAAGATGTGTAGTAGCTTTGAACACTTTAGCGCTAGCAATGACCCTGTTATTTTTCTATCTTTTGTAACACTTGCTTTTAAAAGTCCAGGTAGATAAATTTCAAAAATTAATAACGACTCTCAAAGGATCCTACTGTGGGCTGTGGTATTATTGAACAGTGTACATGCTAGCATAGGATGCCATAACCTCGGTGAGCATGGATCAACTCGTTTGTTTGTAAACGTTATTTCTAGAAAAATCTTCTTTCCGTTGGAGCGTTCACAGTTGTCTTGTTTCCCAGTCTGCGCTACACAAACTTTGATGTTTTAGTGAGTACGCATACTTTGGCGAGTGCCCGGCTAACTCTGTGGTCAATGCGAAGCGCGCAATCTCTTGTATCTGTACAAAAGTAGACTAACAGTGAAGTCAATTGGCAGCTACGGTTAGTTACACGTGATATGAGAATGATAGTACCATTTCAAGACACAATGATAAAACATTTACACGCAACACAGGCGCTGACACTCGTTGCCTGTTATGGGCAAATTTTTTACCCTTGTCTCTTAAATTCGTGCTGTTGTTCCCGTGTCATTGTGCAGTTAAAACATACAATCATTATAATAGTGTACATGTATATAACAGGTAGCTTTCAAATTTGTAAAGAGTAATTGTGGCAGCACTAGCAATAAAAACTGAAATTATCACAACAGAAAAATTGGCAGACCCCACGTACAGTGAGAATCGATGATGTGCGAAGCACGAATGAGAAAGCTTGATATGTCGCTTTAAAATAAGCACACCGTTACGAGGTGGAGGTAAATATCGCAGTGCATAACTTTCGTGTCTAGATTATCATGTTTGGATGTGTCGTTTACCTTTGTCATTTATTGACGTCACGTGATACCAAATTTGGTATATGTGGAGCCAGCGAAATGGCCGCGAGCACGCAATGAGCGTGGTATGTTGTCATGTTCTTACATGACACGGTTGTCAGGATTATCATGTTTGCACCAGTCCAATATTTCGTCATCTATTGACGTTACGTAACACCAAATTTGGTATATGCGGAGCTAGCGAAAATGCCGCCAGCGAATCATGAAAGGCTCAATAAACTACAATGTAGGGTTGCTGCGTTAGCACAGCGTCGCTACATTAGCACAGCGACGCTACGTTAGCCAAACACGAGCACTTTATAGTCTGACACCAGGCGCGACCAGCGTCCATCAGCACGGCCCGACGGCAACAGGCGCGAAATGCGACATGCTGCATTTTGCGCCGATGCGTTACCCAGACATCCCTGCGTCTCCCTCTTTTCGTGACGGAGGGTCGCCGGACGCGCTGAAGCGCGCATACGTCATAGCAATGCAGCGCGGCGCGCGCCTGTGAGTATATGGCAGGACCAGCGCCTAGCGTGGCAACGCCGGAATGACGCGACGAAAGGAACGCCGGCGAGCACGCGCACCGCATCACGTCGAAATGTAATGGCGCCTTGACTGTGGCGTGTAGTCATGTTCTCACATGACACGATTCTCAAGACTATCATGCTTGCACCAGTCACATGCCTTCGTCATCCCTTGGCGTCACGTAATACCAAATTTGGCATATGTGAAGCTAGCGAAACGGCCGCGAGTGCATCATCAGTGTGGCATGTAGACATGTTGTTACGTGACACGCATGTCTTGATTATTATGTTTGGATGTGTCATTTACCTATGTCGTCCATTCGCGTCACGTAATACCGAGTTTAGTACATGTGAATCTAGCGAAACGGCCGCGAGCGCATCATGAGCGTAGCAAGTAGTCATCTTGTTACATAACACACATCTCATGATTATCTTGTTTGCACCAGTATCATACCTTCGTCATCCATCCATGTACCGTAATACCAAATTTGGTATATGTGACGCTAGCGAAACGGCCGCGAGCGCACATGAGCGTGACATGTAGTCATGTTGTTGCATGACATGCATGTCATGATTTTCATGCTAGGGTCTGTCGCTGGTGTTCGCCATGCAATAATGTCATACCACACCACTTTTGCAACAAGTTGTGTGAACGAAACCACCGCAAAAGCTTCAGGACCATGACGTGTAAATGATGACATTCATGACATACATGTCATGATTTTCATGTTGTGACTAGTCAAATATGTTCTATATACAGTCATGTTATGCCATACCAAGTTTGGTAACGATACCATTATCAAAACGGCCAGGAGAGCTAAAAGTCGTAAGCGGCTAGATAGATAGATAGATAGATAGATAGATAGATAGATAGATAGATAGATAGATAGATAGATAGATAGATAGATAGATAGATAGATAGATAGATAGATAGATAGATAGATAGATAGATAGATAGATAGATAGATAGATAGATAGATAGATAGATAGATAGATAGATAGATAGATAGATAGATAGATAGATAGATAGATAGA